TTAAAAAAAATAAAATGATCCTGAGGTTTGAATCTACCTATGAATCTCCATGGAAATCTAGCTCAGGTACTAACTTGACTGGTCAACAGAGAAGTTTGTATCTCTAACCCCTCCTGCACACAATTTTTTCTTTTCCTAGTTAGTATCAAAACCTATCAATTATTAAAACCTTAGAGACAAAGGGGGTTTTATTAATATTTGTGAATCCTCCTTTCCTTCACCTTGGAGAAGCCTACCTTTAAAAAGAAAAAAAAAATCTTAATCCATGCTCCCCATTCCCACTGCTGCCATGCTGAGCCACGCTTTCAGAATTCCTAGCATGAACTCCCAAGATATCCTTCTAATTGGCCTCACCTCATTCATTCTCATCCTCTATTTCAGAATTTCCTCACTGCAGGTACTGATCCAGGTTACTCATACTCATCAAGGACTCAAGGCTGTAACTGGCCCAAGCTTGGGGCTGCCTTTCTTACTCAGATTATGCCAGTAATCATTTTTCTGTTCAAGTACACCACATCGTTTGGTTTTGATTGCTGTTGCCTTTTTTTTTTTTTTAAATAAATTGGAGCCTATCAATGTGCTTTATTTGCCGTTGGGAATATTCTTCCACTCTGTTCTTTACCTGACTTGCTGCTTATTTGGGTACTGTCATCAAAATCAAAAGTTTCTCCCTGCAGTATTCTGCTAGGAAGCCAAAGATGCCATAGATTTAATTCCTACATAGATAAAACAGCATTTCCTTATGAACTTTAATTAAGTTACTACATAATACTAATTTTTTTTTCCAAGAAACACCAATCAGTGGCTTATGCAAACTCAAAAAATGACATTTTCTATAACCCATCTCAATCTAGTATTTCCAACAAACTAAAAACTGAAACATACATGAGTCATAAAACTAAAACTACTACAAAGGCTAAGCTTCGTCATGTGCAAAACATGCAAAAAAGTATAAGCTTTCAGGGCCCCAGGGCTGTTAACTTGGTATCTCCTTTATATTAATAGCATCTGATCATTAAAAAAGTTAAGTTACGTTAGAGAAGCTGGGGACTTCCAGCCAGTCAGAGGCTCAACTGACTGCCATTTCTTCTCTACGATATAATTCTGCAGGTCTTCGAAGATTCCTGGGCCCCGGTAACGGCGGAAAATTCCATCCTTTGCACTATGAATGATAAAAAAACAAAATTATGTCTGTGAAAACAAGGTGCTAAAGGTAATAAAAACCAAACTGAGTGTACATTTTAAAAGTGAACACTGGATTTTGAATGGCTTAAATTAAGAGAGAGAAAAATGAGCGTGGTCACTGTTAGTGAGCTGATCTGTGACTCCTGGCAACTCCACAGGACAGAGCAGAACTGCCTCCCTGGATTTCTGATGTTGGTAATCTTTAAAGGAGCAGACTGTTCATCTGTCCCCACAGAAAAGCTGCTGGGTTCCAATCATGGTGAGTGAGAAATCACAAAGCATGTATAAACTCTAGTCTGTGGAATCTGAGATATTCCAAAGCTAAAAACATTAAACTTTCTTCTTTTAATCAAGACACATTTAGCAGCATTATTCACCATCACAAGAACATGGAAACAGCCCCGATGTCCAGCCACAAATGAATGGATTGAGTAATTATGGTACATTCACAGGATGGAATACTCTGGAGCACACAGGAGCAATGATTTTGTGAATTATTACCTAACTTGGGAGAGACTGGAGAGTATTATTCTGAGTGAACTAACGTAGTCCGACAAGGACAAATACTGTATAAAACCATTATTGTAGAATGAGTATAAGCATCCAAGAGAGGTGGGAGAGGCTGGAAGCAGAGGGATGTGGAGGGGGAAAGGGGGGTTAATCATCAGCTTGTACAATTTGATGGATGATAGGGTGAGGGAAATTGAAAGAATTTTTTCGAATTTGTATTAAACTTTGTAAATAAACTAGTAGGGGTAAAGGACACATTTGTGACAATTAGGAAAATTCGAGGCAATGTTTAATCAGTCAAGTTATTTTTTACTATTCTTGCTACTAGTTATTTCAATTATTCTCTTACAACCACAAATTAGCAATTGCTATCAAGTTACAAACAGTTAAATCCACATATCAAAACATGTGCTGTTCAAGCTCCTCCCTTCAAAAGCAACAAAACACCTTAGTCCCTCATCGCTCTCCTTCTCGTCCTCCTTCTCGCCCTTGTGCCACTGTCTAACTTCCTAGGGGAAGGCTCTACATTTGCTATGTTCTCCTTTCAATTACTCATTTACTACTTGGTATATATTTGGGCTCTGCTCCTATGAATTCACTAACATTGTTTATATTGGGTCTTCAGTAGCCCCTAAGTGCTATCCAAAGAGTATGTTCTGCCAGTTTTACCTCATCAGTGTTTAGCACTGTCCACTACTGAACACCCAACACATCTCCCCCTCCTCTCTTTTTCTGTGGTTATCGACCATTGGACTTCTCCCTACCACTCTAGGTTGCCCTTCTGTTTCCTTGTCTGCCTTTACAGATAAGCTAACATTGGTCAATTCCATTCTAATCTTGACCTACATCTCTTCCCATTAAAATTACTATAACTCAGCCGTTCTGAATCTCAATGCTGATGAATTCTTAGTATACATCTGTGGTCTAGATCTTTCTTCTGAACTTTAGATCCTTACTCCACCCTGAAAAATGTCACGTGAATTTCTCCACTCTCTAGCTTGGATCTATCACTCAAATCTCCTCTCATTCTAATGGTGCCTTCTTTTGAAGGAGGGCAATAGCTTTTATTGATTATAAATGGCCTGACTGGTGTCTTGGCATCTTCTTTGCCTGTAGTTACTCAGTCACCAAGCCACACTGATGATACCCTTTTAGTATCTCTGAACTTCATCCTGTCCTTTATCTTTATGTGTAACTACCCTGACCATCTCTAAACATATCACATAGAATGACTGAAATGCATCCTATGAGCCAACCACATTAAATCGGTTAGCATTCCCAGAAGGCACTGCATTTTCTTGTGGGCTTTTGCATGCTGTCTCCTCCACATGGAAACACCTTCTCCATCTTGTCTGCTTAGCCTATTTATCCATCAAGAATCCTATCATATTTTATATCACTACAAAACAACTTCTCTGACCTTTCCATCTCACCTCTGCCTGAAATTAGACTCAGACTTTCTGTCACTGCCTCATTCTGAGGACACCTCTTACCTGATAGCTCTCATTCTGCAGAGTAGTATTCCTCCTTTCATATGGTATGCTGAATGACAGTTATGGAAAATAACTAAGAATTCCTGTACATATCAACTGTTTTCTCATCTTTGTAAGACAACACCATTATTTTTACTTACTGGAAAAAAGCAGGGAGTGTGGTGACAAAGAAGCGACCGCTCAAACCTGCAAGAAGCATATGAGAGAGATACTTGAAGTTAAACTTGGTGAAACTCAGGTGCTAACTGAAGTCCCAAGAACAAGCAGCCTTGAGCATGCCTTCATAATGATATCATGTAGGTCATTACCATGTTCAAATCACATCTAGCATGTTTGTTTGATCTTAAATTTTATTTTCAACTATTTAAACTTATTTAATACTTTGCAGTTAATGACATGGAATTTGCTTATCTTTTGTGCTACTCTGAAGGTATTTTTCTTTTTTTACTTGAGCTCATTTGGGAGTCTATGGCGGAAGAGAAGATGAATTTGGAGTTGCAAAACATGCAATAAATATAAATTTCTCCATTTAATAGTTTTGTGGCTTCAAATAAATCATTAAAGCTTTCCAGTTTTAATGATCTTAACTGCAAAAAGGGGATTTAAAGCTTACTCTTGGGATTGTTCGAAGGTGAAGCAGGTCAAGTGTGTGAAGTTCAATTATGAATTTAAAAGAAACAATAAAGATCAGAAATACTCTTTGCACATTTTTAATTTATATGTACTGTGAAGAAAATACATGTACATTAAACAATTTGAAAATTTGTCTCAATAAAGCTTTACTGAATACTACATATAAAGTATATTAGGCATGTGTAAATAGAACCCTTAAGCCACTCACTCATTTACTAAGCATCTTTTTTATTCCAGATACTGTGACACAGTCAAGACACAGAGATAAATAAGAACATGTATAATTTCTGTTCTCTCCCAGAGCTTTGTATTCTAGTAGTAAGAGACAAGGTAATCAAAATTAAGACTAAATATGATATGAAGTGATACAAATAAAAATCATGATTTAAATGCTTACAAATATATAGGATGAGCATCAAGAGTAAGTCTGGTTATGGCACAAAAAGGCGAAATAAAGGATCCACCTGAACACAAGATTAAGATTTCTTTGGGTTATCCCAGCATGGAAAAACAACAGAGACACATTTTTAAACTTCTCATCACTTTGGTTCCTCCTACCCCAGAAAAATGTGGACAAATCAAACAAAACTAAGTCACTCAAACATAACATTCTGTTATGCGATCATGTACCATCAAGTCAGAACCAACCCATAGCTGACACTCCAGGAGGTTTTCAGAGGCAATAACTCACACAGGAAGAGTCTGCCCATCTTTCTCCTGTAGAACAGCTAGTGGATTTGAACTGTGTGCCTCCAGCTCCTAACCACGAGTCCACCTGAGAGCTCCTTTACACCCTTCTGGCTACTGTTTCAAATTTGAAGTGTCAGTTTTACTCACATGAGACACTTGCTTTTGTTCCATTTAGAAAATAAACTCAAATACAGAATAACAATGCAATATATGATGATATTCTCAAAAGATTATTTTTTCCCTCTTATCACATCTCCCCTTAAAAAAACAACAAACAAAAACCAAAGAACACAACAACAACAAACCCACAAAATACAAAAACATAACAATTTGTTGAATCAATGCTGACCGACTGTGGCCCCATCTGCGCAGAGTTTTTAAGAAAGACTACCAAACTAAACTGCCATTTTCCATTTAAGAGTCGAGCATATAATGATGGCACCCAGAGGACCCCATATCAAACCAAATTTTTTTTTACAAAAAAAGTATAGCTGTTAAGAGCAATTTCTGCTGAGATTCTAAGGCTGAAATCGTTATGAAAGCAGATAGTCCCATCTTTCTCCCATGGAACAACTGGCAGATTCAAATTGCTACTTTTTGTTTAGCAGCTAAACAACCACTGCATCATCAGGGTTCCTTATATCAGACCAAAAGGGCTGTTAAATGTCCCTTTGGAAACTGGAAACACCATATTCTGAGAGGTAAAAGGCAATGCCATATAAAGAGACATTTTCTCTCTCCATTTATCTTTTGTATATTAAGAAATAAAATATGAAAAAAAGAAATAAAATGTCTTTTAGTAATATAAAAGCACAGTGACTGGAGGCTATGTCAGCCAGGACTATAAAAAGTATTTTTATTTACAAAGCATTTTCACTTTTATAATTACCTCAAACTGCACACACAACAGAGCACTAGTGGATATTTTAGTATACTGCCAACTCTGTATTTTCAGAGGAAAATTATTAATATTCTTAAGTTGAAAAAGAATTACAAGCTGTTATGGACAAGAGCTCTTGGGGCTTTGTGGTAGAAGTTGGGCTGACAATCCAAAGGCACACGGTTCAAATCAGAATCCAACATCAACATCAGAGCAAGATGGGCAACACTCATCTTCTCTATGCAATTTACTGCCTCTGAAAACCAGGGGGAGGGTCAGCTCTGAGTCATTTCTGACTCAAAAGTACATAAATACAACATTATTATGGGTTTAATTGTGTCTAGCCCCACCTTTCCCAAAAAACATATTACTTGTCTGGACTATAAGTCTCAGTATTAATTTTCACTTTGTAACCTGTTATTGTAACCTGTCTTGCATGTTGCAAAGTCTCACCTCTCTCACCTATATGATGTTAATGAGATAGGATTAGAGGTAGTGAAGTTAGTCAGGATCCCACATTAATCTACACGACTAGGTTAGATCTTGAGTCTAACTCTTTGAAAAGTCAGTAAATGTTCACAAAAATACTCACTAAATATAAGTTATTATCACTAAAAAGAGCAGAAGGAAGAAAATACATAAAATTTAGAATCTTAACTTTGAGATTGAGAGAGTTGTCAATATATTAGAAATGTATATATCAATATATTTTTATAAAAGGAATAAATTTTACAATTTATACAATTAAAAACATTCACTAAATACAGCAAAATAAACTGCCTTCTGCAATAAACTGAGGGTTTTAAGCACCATAGATATTTCTGGCTGTGGAAGGGACCTGGTTTACCTCTAAGTATACATGGATAATCTATAAGCAGCAGCTATTTTCCTGTCCTTGACAGTTAAACTCAAATAAGTGGAAGAGATAGTTCAAATTGTTATTGTGTGCTGCTGAGTAGGAACTGACTCATAACTGACACCAGAGGGTTTTTCAGATACTTTAAATCTCACAGGAGATTGCTCCATTGTACACATTCAATTTAATCTCCCAAAGTCAGTTCAAAGAGAACATAATCTGGTCTAGGCAGTACTGAACAGGCAACGTAAAACAAACTAATCTGCAGGACTGTTCTGCTCTTGATTTCTATATTTCAGCTGTACAATTGCAATGTTTATGATCCTTAGCTTCATAATTTCAAAATCTTAGTTTCTGTTCAAAATACTTAGAATTTCTTATGAGATAAACAAATGGAAGAATAGAAATAACTAAAAAGTTGTATGACCATTAAAAAATCTTGCTTTCTCAAATTTTACTAAGAAAACAAAAAGTCTCCTCTCTGGACACTCTCGTGTAAAGGACACCATGATGAAAGAATATTCAAATGAGATCTGTTTCCAAATAGAAACCTTTATATAGAAATATTTAGTGGGGTATTCAACTGTGGGGAGAAAAAAGTACCATTTCAATAGTTTTCTGCTGTTCGTTTAGGAGCTTAAAGAAACACAAAGATTAAAGAAACACGATCTGCTTTCCAGTAAGGTAAAGCCAGTCAAGATACTTCTCTGCACTTGGCTTCCAGGAAACTAACCCTTCTCCATCTTCCTTTTATCTCACTGGGTGTGAGCTCTGGTGCCTAAATCCTTAGGGAGATGTGCTGCCAACTCAAGAGTGGGGCCTCTCCCAGGGTTCAAATCCACCAGCAGCTCTGAAGGAGAAAGATGGGTAATCTCCTCCCAGGCACTCTACAGTCTCAAAAAAAATCTACTGGAGGGTCAGCTATGAGTTGATTCCAACTGGAAAGCAGTGGCTTTGATTTTTTTTTTCTTTTTATCGACACTTCTTCCCCTTTTAGTTATCTGAATATTGGAAAGACATAGATCGGAGAATGTGTCCTTAGTACTCATTTTCTAGTTAATCTCAGTGATTCCCCTGCAATCTACACCGATGATCCTCCAATCTATTTCTGGCTCATTGTTACTTGGGTGTCTTTTAAGCACCCTGAACTTAACACCTGTCCCAAATCTTCTCTCTCCTTAGTCATCTCTATCTCTTCCCTCCCTAATCCTATAAACAGTCCTTGAGGAATTCTTTTGGATATCCTTCCAAAAACATTATCTCAATTCATTCACTTAGCACTGCGGCTGCTGCTAACATCTTAAACTAAGACAACATTGTCTCAATTCTGGACTATGGTGTATCAACCTCTCCACTGCTTTCCTGTCTTCATTTCTGAACTACAGTTAAGTTTTTCCACATAAAGTCCATCATGTCACTTTCCTCCTCAAAATTCCAAGTAGCTTCTCATCTATCTGTGGTGTTAGAGGTTTATTGTTCAAAATGGCTTCCGTAGGTAACGAATGACTTTGTCACTGAGAGAAGGGTGAGAATAGGCAAACAGTTGTGTTAGCCTATTCACTAGGGGATTGGTTAATCTGACCATTAAATTGAGCAGATGTAATGACAGAATTAGAGAATCTGGCCACCAGCAAAGAAAATGCAAGAGAATGCAGCTTGTCCTTTGGGGCCAGAGACTGTTTGGCAAGCCAGACCAGCATGGACAAGAACAGCTGCCACAGCAGCTACAGCAAAGAACCAGAGGCCTGATGTGAGATGGAGTGAATCTCAAGACTGCTACCCCATGGGAGCTAAGAGCCTTTGGCCAAGTTTGCTGGACACCTGGGTGGGAGATGGGAGAGTCATCACTGGCAGTACTGAGAGCTTGTAACACTGGCCCAAAGTCACAAAGCTCAAGGCTGAGATACCTGAGAGCACATTTCAAAAACTGTCCTGACTCAATTTTTCTATTAACCTGAATTATAGCCTTTTGACTTCCCAAATATGGTTCTATGTGGTCTGTGAGCTATTCCAAATGATTTTGGACCTAATGCAGTAGTAAGATTGGTGTTGGGATGAGTAGAAAGAGGTGCAGGAACAGGTCTGACTTCCTGGGAATTGTTTTTGTGTGTTGATATTGTTGACGGGGACAGTTGGCCATTATGGAGTTGGTGAAGTTCAGATATGGCCATCCCCATGCTGCTCTCACTTTTTTTACACTATAAAAATGCATATAAAATCTGAACTCTTTGCCATAGCCAGCAAGACCCTATATAATCAGATCCCTTAATATGCCATTGGCCATATTTAATATCACACTAATGACCATAGTTCTTCAAGTAAAGAACACTTCCAAATGTACATGCAGCTTTGTCTGTCTGCAGGTTTCCCCCTCAAGGGAGTCCTGGTGGCTTAGTGGTAAGCAGCTGTGCTGCCAACCCAGAGGCATGTGGTTCATATCCACCAGGTGCTCCACAGAAGAATAGACAATTTCCTCCTATGCAATTTATTGCCTCTGAAAACCAGATGGAGGGTCAGCTATGAGTCAGTTCCAACTCAACAGCATATAACAACAAGAAATAACAATAAGATGTAAATTATGAACTTTTACTAGATTGCAATTAACCATATATTATGAACGAGTATGTAGGGAATAATTAAGAAGGTATCCATTAACTTAGCTGTCTGCTAACCCAAAGACTACTAGTCTTCAGAGGTTTGAACCCACCAGTAGCTCCTTGAGATAAAAACATGCAGTTTCTTCCCTTAAGATTTATATCCCCAGAAACTCAATAGAGAGTAGCACTATGTGTGAACTACAAACAAGACAAAAAAGACAAATACGTGCATTACTGTGGTCCCTGTGTGATGTACAGGAATCCCATGTGTTACAGGGATGCCGTGTGTTACTATAGACCCTGTGTGATTTACAGGGATCCCACGTGTTTCTGTCATCATAATGTGAGTCACAGGGATCCAGTGTGTTAATGTGTTATTGTGTGTAGAACTTCCCCCAGGGTTTGTTTGGCTATAATCGTTACAGAAGCCGTAATTATTATAGAAGCAAGTCCTTCTGTAGCACTGCTGAGTGGACTATACAACTCTCAATCTTGAGGTTGGAGCTAGCTGTAAATCACCAAGAATGAAGGATAAATATGGACTGTGTATATGCTGAAGTTCAAAGTGTCATAATATTTACAACCTACTATTCAATGGTTCATAAAAAAATGAAATTATAACACAAAACAATCAAAATAAGTATTAACATATACACTAGACAGAGATGCCAAATCTTATCTGGTGAATCAAGGTAGTCAGTAGGGTCACAAGTAAATAAACTTTTTACATGCATGAAAAATTAGAAAAAAATGTTGGTAAATAATATAAATATGTTTACATTTTAAAAATAAATTAAGAAAAAAATGTAAACAAACATTTATTACCTGGTTCTTGAATGACATCCACCTTCCCTACACTGACGTGAAGTATATCCCCATTCCTGGCAAATGTCTCCCATTCTGAATCAGTCTGTTGGCAGGACGGACACCAAGGGGCGTAACTGGAAGAAAAGAATAGCTAATCAATATAAACATATGAAAAACAGTCTGAATAAAAAAATAGAATATTCACATTTATTTAAAGTTGTTAAAGGAATACAAAATCAAGGTTTTCCAAAGTCAGCTGATTGAAACATACAAAGTATATCCTACCCCAGGATTTATGCATAAATAGTAATTCTCCCGAAAAAAAATTAAGAGAAAAAAATGAGAAGATTTTTATGAATTATTGTATCATTACTCTATTTCTATTTCCTCCCCCTTCTCCTCCAAAATGACTTGGAAAAAAAATAAAGTAAGGTAGTATTATACAATATTCTAAGAAGATTTAGGCTTTAAAGTCAATATATCATATATCAAATCTTTTAACTGTGGGGGAGGGCTAGGGGAAACTTATTTATAAATCCCATTCAAAAGTCAATTTAAGACCTATTTTTTCTGTAACAGATTATCAAACAAAACTGCAAATGCACAAAAAAACACACTATGATTCGTGTAACAGAGACACCCTAAAATTAAATGTTTTCAGACTTTATCAAAAAAGAAAGAAAACCCACAAAAACAAAAACTTGTAGACTAGGAACATATCTTGGGAGAAATATCTGATAAGGCTCTATCAAAAATACATAGAAAACATGAACAACTCAGTAACAACAGAAATAATTCTGTGTGAAAATGGTCAAAGAAAAGCAGACATTTCTCCAGGGAGGATTTTTCTATACAGCCATTCAACACATGGAAAGATACACATGATCATTAGCCATTTAATTCAAAACTCAACTCATTGTTGGTCAGTGGTAAATCACTCAAGCTGACCTTCCAGTGGGCTTTCAAAGGTAGTAAATCACATAGGAGGAAAATGCTCATCTTTTTCCCAAGGAGCAGAAAGTAGATTCAAACCCTGGCCTATGCCTGGCAGTGCAACCCTTTACCCACCAAGCCACAATAGCTTCCTATTAGGCATTTGTTGTTACTGTGTTCCCTTGAGTCAAGGATCTACCCATAGCTGACCCTATGGCAGGTTTTCAGAGGCAGTTAATTGCCTGGGAGGAGAATGCTGATCTTTCTCCCCAAAAAGAGCTGGTGGATAGATTAGAACCACATGCCTTCAGGATTGCAGTGCAGCTTTTTATCATTAGGCCACAATGAGACACTAGCTCACCTTTGCAAAAATGGTACTAATTAAAAAAAAAACCAAAAAACAGAAAAGAATAAATGCTGGTGAGGTTGTGGGGAAAATAAAGCGTTTATTCATTGTTCGTGAGACTATCATATGGTACACCTATGGAAAACAATATAGCCCTTTCTTAAAGTGTTAAAGCAATCCTATGATCCAGCAATCCCACTTCCAGCTACATACCTCAGATATTACTGTAGTGACACGCATATACATATGCATACCATGTCTGCTGCAGCTATTTTTTTACTATGCACAAAAGTTAAAAGATGCAAATTTCCCAAGTTTGAATCAAGAGATAAAAGGACAAAATAATAGTACATACATAATATGGAATAATACACAGCTATAAATAATGAGTTCTCCAATTGTATGACAACATAGATGCATCTGGAGAATTACTGAACTGAACAAGTCAATCACAGAAGCACAAATGGTTGCACTTTCATTAGAAGACTAGAATACAAGTAGAAATAAACATTCATTAATGGCTACCAAGGATGAGAGGATTAAGACAGGAACAAACAGAAGTCTCTACATATAAAGTATATATATAACACATATATAATAAAGCACTTAGTAGTTGTTATTAGGTGCTGTTGAGTAGAGAGACCCCCGTGAACAACAGATCTGAACCCTGTTCATTCCTCACGATCTCTGACACACCTGAGCCCACTGCTGCAGACTCCGTGTCAATACACCTGGTTGAGGGTCTTCTCTTTTGCCATCCCTCCACCTTCCCAAACATAACATCCCTCTCCAGTGAACAGCTTTCTCCTAGCAACTTGCTCAAAGTATGTAAGATGAAACTTCATCACCTTTGCCTCCAAAGAGCAGGCTGGCTGTATTTTCCCCAAGACATACCTACCTGTTTGTTCTTTTGACAGTACCTGGGATAATCAACACTCTTCTCTTCAATACTCTTAAAATGCATCAATATTTTTTCTATCATCCTTACTCACTGTCCAGCTCTCTCAGCAGCATAGCAAGTGATTGAAAAGACCATGGCCTAAACAAATATTAGTCCTTAAACTAATATTGTTCTCAGTAATTTGGAGAGATCCCTGACTACAAACTTTCCCAGTACACTACATCTCCTGATCTCCTGACTGCTAGGCTAGTACCAAGTGTATTAATTGTGGATCCAAGTAAGATGAAGTCATTGACAGTTTCAATCTTCCCGCCATCTATCAAGATGGATGGATGGAAGGATTGTCTATAGGTTGCTTATAGCTTCAGTGGTGAGAATTTTTGTGCTCTTGACACTGAGATGCAATCCATACTGAAGGCTGCAGGCTTTGATCTTCTGTAGCGAGCACTTTAAATCCTTCTCATTTTCAGCAAGCAACGCTGTGTCATCTGCATACCAAGGATTATTGATGAGTCTTCCTCCAATCCTGATGTCACAGTATTCTTCATAGAGTCAAGCTTCTCAAATAATTTCCTCAGCATACAGAATGAACACCAGCTGCTCTGCAGGAGTAGGATGGGCAGTCTCCTCCTGTGCGATTAACTGCCTCTGAAAACCTGAGGGAAGGTCAGCTATGGGTTGGTTCTGACTCTATGGTACACCATCACAACCACAACATACAGAATAAATAGGTGTAGAGAAAGGATACAACTCTGAGGCACAGCAGTCCTCATTTTAAACCATGTAGTGTTCCCTTGTTCTGTTTGCATACTAGTCTCTTGGTCTAGCTTGAACTTCTGGAAGATCTCTATGTATGTTGTAGTCATTTTAAAATGATCTTCAGCAGTATTTTGCATGCACATGATATTAATGATATTGTTCAGTAATATACACAATTTGTTGGATCACCTTTCCTGGGAATGGGAACAAATATGAATCTTTTTCCAGCCAGTTGGCCAGGCAGCTGTCCTCTAAATTTCCTGGAATAGACTGGAAGGAATCGTCAGAGAAGCTCAATATCAGGAATCAAAACAAGGCCAGGCATTGACTGTGAATCAGATCAACAATTACTCATGTGAAAGCTCAAACTGAGACTGAAGAAAATGAAAACAAGCATTCAAGAACCAAAGTATGATCTTGAGTCTATCTCACCTGATTTAAATGGCATCTTAAGATAGGTTTGAAGCATTAAACACCAATGATTTATGGGATGACATCAAGTTGCTGCAGACATAGGAAAAAGAAAAAAGCCAAAATGGGTGTCAGAAAAGACCTTAAAAATTGCACTAGTGTATCAAGAAGTCAAAAGAAAGAGCAGAGATGTTGAAGTAAAAGGCCTGAAGATGAGATTTCTAAGGGCAGCTCAATAAAGCAAAGTATTATAACAGAATGTGCAGAGGCCTAGGTTTGGAGAATAAAAAGGGAAGAACTCACTCAGCATTTGTCAAGTTCTGTTTTTGTCAGTTCTGGAAAACAAATTCTAGCCTTTAGTTGTGATATTTAGAGACGCTATGGGGGAAATCTTGAATGATCCTGGAAGTATCAAAATAAGATGTAGGAAATATCCAAAACCACTCATCAAAAAGAATTGGCAGACAGTGAAATATTTCAGGAAGTACAGTATGATCAAGAGCCAACAGTAACTATGGAAGACATTTAAGGTGCACTGAAGGCAACACACACACACAAAAAAAAAATAAGACCCCGGGAATGGATGGGATAGGATGCCAATTGACAGGAAAGCACTTAGGGGGCACAGTGACGGATTATTCCTAGACTTGGTCAAACAGCTCATGGAGTAGTTCACGTGATTTTTGAGATCGTTGTTATTATTGTTATTGTTGTGTACTGTAGAGTCAGATCCGACCCATAGTTGACCTTCTGGTGGGTTTTCAGAGGCAGTTAATCACACAGGAAGATACTGTCCATTCTTCTCCTGTGGAGCAGCTGGTGGATTTCAGCTGCATGCCTTCAGGATTGCAGTGAAGCTTCTTGCCACTAGACCACCAGAACTCTCTGATTTTAAGGTTATGACCATATTTTCATTGGACAACTCAGTCAATCTGCAAAAACACAGTTCACAAAGTTTAAGTGCCACATCCTACTTTGGTGAAGAGTCTTCTAAGACATAACAATTGGGCTCTACTTGTCTGGCACCAGAGAGAAATAAAAATTTCAAAGAAACTAGTTGGCAGGATTAATAAACAGTTTAATGAACTAATAAAAAGCCTCATGGATGGTGACTGTCTACGATGATCAACTGGTCTCACCAGGGATGGGGACAGACAGACACACACATACACACACACACACACAATCATCTCAGAAAGAATTTGGGAGGAAAAGTAGAACAAAATTCTAATTCTTAAAGAAAGGTCAGAGTTAGGAACGTCTACACTATCGCCCTGAGACACTTTTCAAACTATTGCAGCTGCAATCATCAACATCTGGAGTCACCTATTAGATAAATACTATATTGACAAATAAAAGAATACTACCTGTGAATACCCCTCTCCTTTAAAAATCATCAAGATTCAACATTCAATACTTACCCTGAAATAAAGGTAAGAATGGAGTAGGATAATCTAATTAATGGAAACAGAATTATGATGATGAAATGATGACACTTTGTGGAAAAATGTAACTCATGGAATAGTAGGCATAGAAATTGTTAAGTGGAATCCTAATTTGATATACAAAGTTTCACAAAAAAAGATAATAAAAAATTATAATCAAAATAAATTAATATAAAATATGCAAATACTTAATAGTTACTATAGCTATGGAGATAAACAGGAAGAAAAAAAAATCTTGTTTATCCATATTAAAGCTTATAGAATAATGAAGAAGTTAGATTAAAAGGCACAAACATATAAATAAATTTATAATTACAAGTTACGAAAAGGTTCATGACA